TTTGTTTTTGAATGACTCGGCACAGTATCCCACGGCCGGAAATGCTTGTGACACAAGGCAGCGTGCGTCAACACATTTGCAGCGACATCTACTGGACTGGAAGTTGTATTACACTTGTTTTTGGCTGATGTTCGCCAACCATTCATGCAATTTTATTTATTCATTTTTTAAAATTAATAATCGATTCTTGGCATCAAGAATATTAGAATCACGATGCATCATCATCACGATTATTTTGCACACCCCTAGCCGACAGTAGGAATCCCTTCATCAGCAGCCTCTGGCCGGGTCGCCTCCTCGCGGTTCACCGCGGCAGCTGTTGGTGTTTTTCATCTAAATAATCCAAACTGCAGGCAGCAGGATAATAAAAGCGAACATATTCTGCCGGCAGATTTCTGCATTTTATTTAGGCGTCAATAAACTGTTTAAGAGGAGTGATCACAGCGCTCTGATCATCAGCGCTGTGTCTCTCTCCCTGCCAGCTCCCAGATCAGCTTCTCTGATTGGTTGACGCGGTGCGTCGAGCAGCAAAAATTAAATTTTTCCATCTCAGATGCTTAGTCATTCGTTGCGTTCGCCTGTCTGCTAAGCTCAAAAACACCGCGCCTGGCTTGACGGAGAAACCAGGAGAACAGCTGTGCATATTTACGACAGTGCACTTTTACTTTCGCCCTCTGGGGGGAGCCTCGCTGGAAAATCAACACCGGTTGCATAGTGTACCTTTAAGGTTTCCCTGCTGTTCGGACACTCAAGCTGCCGCAACCCTCCCACATCTCAACACGGTATCACAAGACACTCCTACATAGGTGTACCTGTGCCCCCCCATTTTGCTTTGAGGACTTAGCAACTGTCTCTACCTGTTTCTCTCTTTCTGTGAGGCTCAGTTTTTCCTCCTTTGTAAATAGAAGCCTAGTTAAGTTGAGTTTCTGTAGTTTTTAGTTAAGAGTTTTTCAACTGAAATGGAGCTGAATGATTTTTGTTAATAAACTCTTATATTTATAATTTAAGTTGCTGTGAATTTATTCTATATATGTACAGAGTTATCCGACCATGATCTTAGTTTATTTACACTTTAACTTGTTGTTCTAACACACAGTCAGCTGAGCGTGTTTTCAAATATTATCTGATTAAATAATATATTTACCTACCCTACTGGGGTGGGCAATAATTATATTAAAGTTGCACATGCTGTTAATTATCTAAATAAAAGTAGATTAGGTATGAAGACAAAAACTCTAAAAAGTGAAAATTCAGACCAATGGATGAACTTGGTCCTTCGCTGTCTTTAGCCAGAGGAGTGTCCACCATGCCGAGACATCCCAGGAGCTGCAGACACTTGTTTCTCACCCCGAAATATGTATCAGATAGGAGCTAACAGGAAGAAAAAAGTAAAAGCAAATGTTTAGAATTGTGCTCAGTTGCTTTTGACTGGCAAGTTCTATTGGGTCTATAAAGGCTTAATAGAAGATTCACCTTGCAGGCCACTTCTACAAGCCTCGGTCTGACTGCAGGGCTTTCTGGTAGCTGGGTTCCAACAACCAGCAAGGTGTCCAGCAGCTGAGCCAGAACCTGATGGGACTCTAAAGACAAACAGGAAAACAAAGAGTAAAATAAATGAATTAGTCAAACTATTACTAAACACCACCTGAGCAGAGTGTTTAAGCTTACTCTCATTCCCAAGTGTGTTAATGACATCATCTACAACACAGTCAGGGCTGAAACCGTTTGTTTTGGAGAGCAAACCCAGAAGAGATGCAATCTTCAACCTCACCGAGTTATCAGTCTCCTAAATAAAGAAATTAAAATAAATTTATAAGCATAATCAACTTTATATAAATCAAAATAAACTGAACTATATAACACTTAGAGGTTAATGTCACTTTTACCTTGTAATAATGCTCAAGCAGGATGCGGATCACACCCTCCACGCTCTCCGCCTCCACTGGTTTACGTGCAAACTGCAGCAGGTACTGCAGGGCATCGGTGGAGTTGGTGGCTTTACAGAGGTCAATGTGTAGGGCTGCAGATTTGCTGGGTTTGGACAGACGCAGCTTCTTGGCTGGAGCTTCTTCATGGGGAATCTACAATCACCAGAGCACTTCAAACTGATCAACACATCTCTAACTGTACTATAGTTTGTTTGCTTTTTAATACAGCATCTGTTATGATTACCTTATTAAGCCACACTGATAAAATAATATTTTACTCATATACAGCAAAAACTTAATTTTAAAAACTAAATCTGCAGAAGGTTAACAGCTGTACACATTAGATGTCAGTTCAGGGAGTTGGAAAATAAGATGTCACCATATTTAACTATATTTGTGCCAGGACAAAACAAGAACTAATAGAGGAACACAAAGAAGTGCACGATTGTGATGTTTTCCCCTTATATTTTAGTACACAACTAAAAAAATTGGCCTTTTTCATTTGTATTCAGCTGCTAACATTAGTGAACAGTCCACGCATGTGTAATTTAATGCCTAATTTAAACATTAAGCTGTTCTGTGATGGCTTAAATATTTGCTAGAGAAAAAAATAATTAATTGGTTAGAAAAGGAAAGAGTATCTGTCAAAACAGACAATGTAAACAATCAACAAGAACCCCATAATATATGTCTGTGTGCACTAACAACAAGCTAGCTCGATTTTAGTGGGTCAAATTAGCTCATCCCGGAAATCAGGCTCAAACTGCTATATTTCCTAGAAATAAAAATTCCCAAATTTACACCTGAACCGATCAAAATGTGCCCACAATGCAACGTGGATCCCGAGCCCTCTAAATGTAATTTTGGTTTTGACTGACTCTGGATGTATGCTATGATACCTTAGCTAACCAGCTAGTTATCTTGTCGGTGTTTTTTGTTTGTTTTGTTTTGTTTTTTTCCACTTTTATTCTTTCACGCTCATACTGAACAAGAAACTACAGTATACGCAATTCTTTGGACTCACCTGGACAACTCTGGAAAATTCCTCATAAACTCGTTTTTTCAAATGTGCTGCCATGTCCACAGAAAGCAGCAAGCTAACGCTTCACAACTACTGAATTGTCGCCCACCGCTTTCCGTAGGAACTCCAAACACGGTGTGACGTTCAAATAACTTTAGTAAATCATAGTTCTATACGGAAAATCCAAATAGTAAAAAAAAACGAAAATCGATATGTTTATATTTATCTCGATGTATCTTCATTGTACAATGTTGTTCAGTATCGTTGAATGTTTTAGTTAAGTTGTTTTAAACATTTTTAAATAGGGATGTCCAGTAAAATTTTAACAAAAAAGGCACTTTTTCTGCTTCACTTAAAAACTTAATATCAGCAAACTTTAGTAAAAACGAAATACATCAGAAATTAATTGTAGAACAAATAATTTCTTAAAGCTCTTTGATATGTTGTATCTGAAGTAACCTAGTGTGACTTAAATGTATCATCACACAGTAACCCATATGTATTACATGTAACTATTATATTATTACATGCACTGGGCATGTTGAAACTGGACACTTGTTGATAATTTGCAATAAAATCAATTTCAACTAATTAATCATTTTTATAGTTGATTTTCAGTGCCGTGTGTAAAAGGACCCCTTCTTCCTAAGCTAACAAAGATAGAAATATAAAGTATACGTGAAAAACTATTTTCAATTTGCCTCCAATTTTGACTTACATTTCTAATTGTTAACATTCTAAATTTGTGTTCAGGGTTTTTTTTATATGGTAGTTTAACTACCACCTGAGTTTTGTCTCAGAATTTGCATATATTTAAATTCATCCAGGTGTCCATGCTGAAAAGCCCCCCCACAGCATAATACCGCACCACTATGTTTCAGCATGAAGTGCTGAATTGGCTTCCTTTTAAGACATAACATGTAACATATGAGATTTAACAGTTAAACATTACAGACCAAAATATTGCAGGTGCCCTTTACCACTTTTATTGTTTCCTTTAAACAAAAGCTTCTTCCTAACAACACACTAGAATCTCATACTTCTCGTTTAAATTGACCCTCCCACTTGAGTTGCTGATGTCTGCAGCTCCTCCAGAGTTACCTTGGGTCCTAGTGCAGCCCGTCATTCTAGATGGATAATCACTTCTCTGTAAGTTTGTAGGTGCACTGTCTTTTCATGTGTTTTAACGTGTTAATGGCACTTTGAGTACAGGATACCGTCATTTAAAACAGGCTGGACACTAACATGCACTTAAATAAAAACAAGTATAGAAGATCATTAGAAAAACTTTCTCCAAAACCTCCAAAACTAAGAATTGTGTTTCAACCCATCCCTCTTTTGAACTCCTCTGCAACTGTTTTTGCAGCAGGTTCTCAAAAAATAAAAAATGAAGATTTAACAGAAGAGCTAAAGTTACAATGAGATTAAATTATACATAAATACAGCACTCCATTTAGTGATTTACTTAAACAAGGTTTTGAATTTGATTCTATGTAGGGGCATGGGAGGAAGGAGGGCTGAACAAAAAAAAAGCATGGTACACTTCTAAAATTAGTTATATATATATATATATATATATATATATATATATATATATATATAAAAAAACAAACAAGTATCACTTTCTTTCCTTCTTTGTGTTGGTCTACATATTAAACATATTGAGGCTTCTGATTGTAAGATCACAAAAAGGTTGTGTACATTTCGAAAATGTTTGTTGGAGTATGACTACCTTCACAAGGATATTTTATGGATTGTAATAAACATTGAAAAACACGTTCCACAGAGCAGACAGATACAAAAACCAACACATTATTCAATGTAAATAATAACATATTTCAATAAACTTACGTTACTGAGTTCCTATTTCTATTATGTCTGCTTGATATATACCTTTAAGAGGACGACAGTCCTCTTTCTTCATTTTAGGTTGACTGTTAGACATTTTACAACAATTTAGCATCAGCTGACTCAGCAAGTTGTTTAAGGTTAAAACACACCATTAAAACTTTAAAAAGCTGAGATTTTTAAGGATGTGATGCTTAATTTGAAAAAAAAATGATATACAGTGATGTACAGTCAGTGAACCTCCTGCAGCTCGATAACAGCTGTTGTCTTTGTTTTCTTGCGGTCTTGTTTCCATGTGAAGAGTCCCACAATGCACACCATGAGCGGCAGAGACGCACAGAGAAGGATCCGGCTGATGGGAAGCTCTGCACGCCGCTCCTCTATGACCATAGGCTGTACTGTCTGTTCTGTGTTGCCGTGTAGGAACAGGAAGGAGGATTTAAAGTCCAGAAATGCAGCCGTTTTGTTCTCACTGGTGTCCACCTGACACCTCCACTTCCTGTTGTTGTCCTCCATTTGCAGCGTTGTGACTAGGGTGATGTTACACCGTGTGTTTTCAATCAGTTTGTATCTGCACAAAGAAACTGTGGTTAGAACTTGTGCTTTTTTATATCAGCCAAAATGAGGTCTTCAGCAGAGGCCTAAATCTTATCACACAATATTTGCTGTGGATTTATTTGCTTGTGCTGCATATGACCTGTCATGTGGTTACATTGGTTTCTCCTTGTAGCTGACTATCATTTTGTTTGCAAAAACAGCTACCTAAGGACATGGTTAAAGAAAGTACACCTTCTACTTATAGACTTTTTGTCTGATCCAGAACAACGATGGGTCTGGTGGCTGTCTTGTGTGGCTATTGGATAAGAAGGTGGGGCACATCCTGAACAGAACAGAAAGAAACAAAGCAAACAACATTGCAAGTTCAAACTCACAACTGAGGGACGCCTCTTGTCTGCATGACAAGAGTAAGAACCAAGTATATGAATTTAATCAACACTAAAAAAATATATATATATTGATTTGAGAACAGTTTACAAAACAAAGTGCATTTTAAATCATCTATGTTTAACTGCAAAAAATAGAAATCTAAATAAGTAATTTTTTTCTGAAATTAAGTGGCATTTTTTTCTTAAATTAAGAAGGTAAGTTGCGGTAAGTTGCCAACTGAACAAGACAATTTACATTTAACATAAGAACAAAACAATTGCATTGTCTTATTTTGAGTGCATTTTATCTAATTATCTTATTTTAAGAGCAAAAAAATCAATCATTTGATTTAACTGCTCAAATTAAGGTTAAATACACTTAATTTAAGACATTTCTACTAATTTCTATATTGTTTTTGCAGTGTTCATGCACGATAATTAAAGGGTTTATGAGCCTAGCAATTTTAAACCTGTAACGCATCTGATTCCTGAAGAAACTGTAAAAAGGTACTAAATCTGAAGCTGTGAATCAGAGGCCATTTTCAGTGTGCTGCAATATATGGTATAGGTGCAAAAACAATGGGGTAGTTTTTGGGGATGTGTTCAGGACTTGTGCCCCCCTCTTTTGCCCCCTTTGGGCAATGACTCATATGCAGCCAAGTTTGCATTTAAAATGTTAAAATGTTGAAAGAACAGTTCAGGTACATCAGTGGCTTGCTGGTTAAACAGAACATAGAGGAACAATGTTAGTTTGCAGAGCTGTAAATGAAGAACTCTTAAAGATCTTTACAAACTGTTGTTGCCCTCACCAGAGAAAGTCAAGCTGACATTTGACAACTAAAAATGACATTTTTACTTGCCTGATCTAATGCCCATACGTTCTAACATATTAAATGTCACATTTTCCTTTTGCTATGAGTGAAAATATAATCAAATCAACATTGTGTGTGGATAATATGTTTCTCTTTTCTGAACCTTCTGTCGTTTTGCGGCAGCTGCTTTCCATCTTTATCCAGCCAGTGGATCCTGAACACGTTGGAGTACGACTTGCAGCTCCCTGCATCATAGTAGGTGAAGAGGATGCAGGTGAGGATGAGGTTCCCTCCAGGCTGGAGCTCAGTGATCGATGAGGCTGAGCTGATGCTCAGCAGGGACAGGTAGACGTCACTAATGGGCGTCCCGTTCTCCAGGCACACATATGAACCAGCGTCTTCCCTGATGAGGTCACCAAGGACGATGGAGCAGTTAGGCATGATGGTCATCCTGCTGGCTTTGTCTGAGTCTAAGTTGATTTTCCCTCCGCTGACCTCTGCAGTGTATCGCACCTTGCCACCTTTGAAGAAGGTCCAGGTGACCGTGGAGCAATCAGCAGAGGTCGTTTTGGTGCAGGGCAGGAGGGCATCCCCTCCGAGTCTGCTGTAGACAAACACTGAATCCTTACTCCTAACACCTGGACAAAAGATGCACATTTTTAATTTTGAAGAAAAGTACTGCAATTTATCTACAGTTAAAACTACAGACTATTATAGATAATAGACTATTTATCCACAAACAGACAAATGGTTAAATTGAGTAGAAAAGAGAAAAAAAAACACCCGTATATTTAACCCCGTTTGCTCAAAAGAAAAAGAAATGAGCGCAAAAAGTATTTTATTATAGAAATCGATTTATTATCTGTCCACAGGCCACAATGAGGAAGGAAAATCAAAGTATGACATTTAAAGTCCATAAAACACAAAGTCCTTCACTGAGTTAACGTGATTCCTTATAGTTAAGCAGCTATTTTAGTTTGATTCATTTCTTAAACATGAAAATAGATTTTGGTTTCTTTTATCTCTTTGATTTGAATTCTGAACCTCTTAATTTCTTTTACAATGTAGATTAATTAAAGAAAATATAATTTTGGTTACACTCTGAATATAATTTTCAAGATGCAATACTTCACTGTATCATGAAATGTCATTGGCCTTAAATGCCAAAAAAATAATATTATTGGTTCCCAATACTGCTTTAATATATACAGCTGTGTTTGAATCTTACATACCCTTCCGTGAAGGACAAAAAAATAAATAAATAAATCAGCTGCCAGTAAAATACATTCACAAAAGTAATGGAAATCATGACATTGAAAAAAGACCTTATTATTAATACAGAAATCTGAGTTTAATGGTGATTATTTTTAACACCTAGAGAAGGGTTGTTATTTCAACATTCTTACAAACACTCCTTATTGGAGCACATATTCTCATTTTTGAATATAATTGTTTAAGATGTTACATAAAAGTGTTATTCTTTAAACACACACTGCTTTTATTGTTTACATTGTTTTGTAAGGTATCGTAAAAAGTTGTTCAGATGTTTGCACTTTTTCTATGTGATTATTGAATTACGGCCAAAGTTTTCAGTTAGATTCAAACTTTGGGAAGGTTTACAGAAGCTTCACGTTTACCTAAATTATTGAGCCACCCCAGTTGTTTAAATTTTCACAATATGACCCAAACTGCTGCCCAGCTGAGAGAAAACTGGTTAGGAATTTCTACAGTGTCGGAAGCAGGGCCGGTTCTAGCCCTTTGGTTGCCCTAGGCGAGATTGAGTTTTGCCCCCCCCACACACACACTTTTGCCGTGCGAAATACCAGTACTGTTTTCAGCATCTGTTTAGTGCTTCATTGAGTTGTGTTTACAGTTCCACAAAGAGTGCTGTGCGGTGAATTGTGCCTACAGTTGTGCAAAGTGTGTGTTACAAAATTGCAAATTGAGTGCAAAGCAGTGTTTGTTCTTTTAGTTTTGTAAACTCAGTGAGTGGATTTGCTATAAGTATTAATAATTTTAGAAATTGTGCTATAAGAATCAAGGTTGTGTTTAAGCATTCAGAAAAAAAACTGTAACTTAGCATGGAGTGATGCATAGACAAATACCAGAATAGGTTTCAGTACCTTTTCTTTTTTATTATTTTAAATAATTTATTACACACTCAAAGTTAGGACTGTGCAAAAACACTTTTAACCATCTGTAAGGACACTTAGGTAAAGTGTAACTAAAAAACTGGATTGAATCATTGAATGAATTTATTTCAGACAATTAACAAATTTAACACAAATTAAACAAATATTAAATAAATCAATTTCAGAAATTACCAAATGACAATAAAAAATAATAAATTTAAGAAATTCTTCAACCAAGGACTACATAAAAAAGTAATTGATAAACATTAAATTAAATTTTCTGTTCCAGTTCAATTAAATCATTTGAACATAAATAGAAATGAGATAAACAAAATTTTCCTCTAAATAAAATATATCAGGTATATTTACCCTGATTTCTGACATTGATTAGTGATTAAAGAAAGGATTAACCCTCTACAAACAAAAGTGCTTTTATTAATACCATTACAAAATTAAAAGTTTGAAGTTGTTGTTTTTTTTTTGTTCACATATTCTATGATGAACAGCCATAACTTCATATATTTTGATGATTATTTGTACATCCCTTTTGAATACTCAATGCAGATAATCACTACAAAATATTTTATTTATATTAGTATCTTCTACCCATTCTCAAGCTAATAATATAGCACATAATTCTGAGAAAAAAATTATGTCAACATTAGGGATGGGGATCGTTAATATTTATTGATATCGATACCTTTATCGATACTCCTTATCGATCCGAGTCTTTATCGATACCACAATCGATACTTTTCTGTTATTTGGTGGAAAGACGATGCAACAAAATTTTATTAACAGAACTGGTATGCTTAATGGTTATGCTTAACAAGTGAGCATAACAAAAACGTTTCTAGCCTTCAATAAACATGGCTAATGTAATAGGCCACTTCGAAATGACATAAAACTAACTAGAATATATTTTCACAATTGTTGGTTAATGTATTGTCTACTGTCACTTTTCATCATGTTTTTAGTGATTAGGAAAATATTTAACAAATAAATAATTGTATTTTAAATTAAATGTAATTTTTAATAAATGTTGGCATCAGTAGTTTAATTATATATAGAGCAATATACAACTGTATTACTCATGTTTCTCGCCAAAAACAAAATTTCCCGTTTTCTTTACGTTACACTTGAACGCATCATGATAACCTAATTGTCATTTTACTGAGCCAATCTGAACACATCATCACGCAGCACGTCTGAAACTTTATTTACTTTTCAAGCTAACTAGCTTGTATGCTTCCGATTACAAGACGGATTTCACAATTAATATTTTTAACTGACCGGACAAGCTACAAAGTCTGTGTGCGCTTACCAGTGGTACTCTGAGTGGGTGATTTAAGGCCCATTCATACCTCACGTAAAAGACGGATACGGATACGTGTGGAGTGTTTCATACGTTCTAACCGTCGATTTCGTCCGTACTTTGACACGAAAATTGGGAGCTTACGCTTACGAACGAAACGGATCAATACGGAGCAATACTACCGGAAACGGTGGGGGCGCTATTGAGTTTTTAGTACAAAATGTCAACAGAATCAGGTCTTGGACCATCGCCATGTTTTGATCAATGACGAATCATTGGCGCCCAGCATTGCCACCTAGAAGAAATACGGGTTATTGCGCACCTCAACGGACGGAGGTATGAAGGACTCAACGGATAGAACGTACGGACAGAAATACGGACGTGCAGGCCAAACGTGAGGTATGAATGGGCCTTAAGACGGGCCGACTGCGGCAGCAGCTGGAGGAGGAGGAGGAGTCTTTTCCGTTCAGCCATTCTCGAGTCGCGAGCTAAGTTAACTGCCAGACTTCACTTGTTTTACTTTTAATATCTGTTTGCTTACAATTTCATTCCAAAATATTGATGTACATGCTGCAGTGATTGACGTCACGACTTCCGGGTTGGAGGGCGCTTGAAAAGTGATCAGAATTTTCCGATTTTCTCTTAAATGTGAAAAAATAAATAAAAAAACGGTGGTATATTTATTTGTTGATATTTTGCTATTTATATATACGTAAGGTTAAGTCAAACTGACGGACGCTTCATAACCGGTTTAATTCGCTTTTTTTTCTAATTCTATGATTAATGGGAAGTAAGCCTAAGGGCGACGCTATAGAGGGCACCCCCAACACATTTGTCGCCCTAGGCAATTGCCTAGCTCGCCTGTAGCAATCGCCGGCCCTGGTCGGAAGAACCCGCCGGAGATAGGCACCAGCCCCACCGCGACCCTAACAGGAATAAGCGGGAGAAGTAGAATGGATGGACCGAAGAACCCTCAAGCCATCACTGCCTGAATGTCAACACCAATGTCTGTCATTACTCACAGGGAAGCAAGTTTAACATTAATGTAAAAGAAGATGGTGCTGGTCAGAACGCAGCTCTGTTAGAAATGAACATCTTATAGCTTTATTGAAATAAGCAAGCATAAAACTAATGGGAAGTTTGAACCAAATAGCCACAGTCAAGCACGGTGGTGGCAGGATGATGCTGGGGTCTATTTTGCTGCTAGTTGTACTGGTGTGTTGCATTAAGTGGGGGAAATAAAAAAGAAAGGAAACTATCATCAAATTCTTCAGTTTCACTTCAAACAACTAAAAGGAAAACTTGTTTAAGTAAAAAAAACAGTTTTGAATGAGCTCTACCATTTATTTAAATGGAAGGATTGGTCAACTATCCAGGCCAAATTAAACAAGAACATAACGGTTTTATTAGTGAGAGAATTTATGAACCTTCACATAAAATTTCATTCACGATTGAATTACAGGAAATTTTGTACAAAAAGTATTTTAAAAATCCTCACTTTCCCCCCGATGACATTTTTAACACTCCCTTTTAATTTGACATTCATGTCCGATGAGAGAATCTTTGATGGCGCTAATAGGGCGCCCTACTGCAGCAGAGGAGATCCTATAAAATGTCAGCGCAGACAAAATTCCTTTGGATAAAAAGCGTTGTAAGTCCATTTCTATTAGCAAAAAGGACATTTGGTCAAACCTTACCTGAATACTCTACCTTTCTAAATGGAACTCTGCATACAGCTTACTTTTGCTTTGTCTTGGTACATTTTGTTTAGAGTTAAAACTTGCAAAACTGGAATTATTCAGTCTAGGCAAGGATCAGTTTTTTAGATGCATCCATTACCAGCAGCATCTGGCAGCTTTTTATGCTTTAAAATCCCATAGAAGCAGTGAGGAGTTCGTTTAATTCCCTTTTTATAATTAGCAACATTTTACTTCTATTTCACTATATGACCAAATAATGTGTTCATATCTTTAAAAAATATGTGTAGAATAGAAATGCATATTATAAAGAAGTAGTTGCCCTTTGGAGAAATCACTGACTACTTCCAAAACATTAACCCAAACCAGACTAACTAGGAGCCAAAAGGATTAAACCTACCTGTATGAAGCAGAATGGCGAGCACCACAAATTGTTTTAAGATACTTAAACCCATCATTCTTGTGATTTCACCTTTGCAATGTCTCTCTGGTTACGTTTCAGCGACACTGCAACACTCTAGAGAAATCTGCTCTTCATTTCCTGTGTTAACTTGAAGCAAACAGAACTCTAACATGCTCAGGAGGGAGGCAGTATCTTCTCTAAAACAATACACCCTCTATCATGCTTTACATTAGCAATGGAAAAACATTATTTCTCATATAGGTAATCAAATCAATAATTGGAGGCAAATTATGATAAAAATAATCAAATAAAATCATTAGCTCAGACTTCATCTATTTTTCTTTGCATTTAATGTAAAAAGAAACTTTTTTTCTATCAGCAGCAGCATATTGTCAAAGGCTAAGCCCTTTACTGGCTTTGACAAATAGGTTCCTACCATTATTTCATCATATTTTCTTCATTAGAGTAACAGCACTTTGACTCCTAACATTTGCAAGAAAGACAGGACTTTCCAACAGCTACTATCTGTATGTTGGCTGTGATTTATTTGGGAACACACAGATTTAGAGAATTTTTAGACAAACTTCCCCACTAAGGGCATTGAAGTTAAATATATAACTTCTTATATATCTATATCTTCGTATTTTGTACTATTTTGTACACTTGTAAATTTTCTTTTGCATTTCCCAAAAAAATCATATTTACAATGTCAGAACACTAAGGGCGAAATCGTTTTTATTTTTTATTCTAAATGAACAAAATTGTCCAATATCGCTGATGATCATTGACCTTTTTAATCATTCTTTCTTATCTTCTGAAATTCATAGTGCAGGACACCAGATCTCTTCCTTTTAAACTCAAGTCTTAAAACCTTTTTTTTATCTTTACACAACAAGCTTAAATATCTTTAGTTGGGATTTTGCAATGGACAACCCAATGCAGTGTGTTATGGTAAAGAAAGAGAGATTATATATATTTTTTACGCCTTATGATCCTTATCAATAAGCACCCTTCTACTCTGATACCCATGAATAAGGTTCAGAAAATCTCACATTCATAAACCATGTAATAATTAAGAATCAGGTCAGCTATGTGTAATTTAATCTCAGCAGATGTCCAGTTGTTTTACAAAGACTTCAAATGTTTTGTGAAGAACATTAGAGAATAAAAAGCATAATCCCGATCAAACACACAGCAAACAGATCAGAGGGAAAGTTGCTGAGAAGTTTAAGCCCAGAGGGTCTAGGGAGCAAATTCCGCCGGAAAATGAAATCCCTTGGAAATAGAATACTGGTAGTTAAAATTTGTATGACAGATAGGCATTGGGGAATATTTTTTAGGTGGAGCCACTATTTTAAATGTCACCATGTTTGATTTATAGTTGATTAAACAAAGAGAAAATGAAAAATGTTTAGCCTCGCCGTAAGAAATGCCCAAAATAAACAGTGCAAAACATCATGAAACCCCATTTGAAACTCTGGATGAGCCTCAGAGTTTATAGATCCACATCCTGACTATAACTCAAGCAAATTTATACTGAATAAGATGAAGCATGTTTGTTCAACAAAGGTTTTATTGGGCAGTATGCTAGGTGGAAATGTGATTTTGGCCCAACGCCTAAAGTGCAAAAATGCATTTTTCCACTCATAAAAGGGAAACTGTTGAGACAAATATGCTAAATTAACATTATTGGTGACTTTCTGCATAAGGCAAAGCCTTTGCTCCTAAGATTTAGCTGTTGTTTCATTGAAATTTACCAATGTTGTCACCAATCTGAATAGAGAACAATAAAAACAGAGCAAGGTTATGTAAGACATGCCGGTTATATCAACTTAAATGGTTGCACAATTACCTCCCACCCTTCCTTGGAAAGGTTTACAATGATGCCGGCATTTTGGGGGCGGGGCTTAAAATGAATACACACTGTTGCATTACTCCCTCAGAGTCACGTCAGGTGGAATTTTAAATCTCATTTTATTTGTTTACACAGCTATAAAACATAAGTACTTGTGAAAAAATAAGTTTGAAACATGTTTTAGAAATTTTAAAGCCACATTTGAAAGGTGTGTGGATGAATCACCATGTGACTTTCTTTTGGCCATTTCCATGGCTGGTATGGCTGCTGTCAGCTGGGCCCGGCACAGTCTCAAGGGGTTAAAGCAGCCTCTAAGGAAATATCAGAAAGTCTAAGCATTTCTCAGACCGTTTAAACCCATTCTCTGAACATGACAAGAAGTTTGAACAATAATTAAGGAAGCAGATAATAAAGAATTTTCTTTAAGCTTCCCTTAGAGAGAAAATATTTCATTTGGTTTGGTTAGTTATTAATTGTGTTGTCTTTTTGTTATCAACTTTTTGAAAGATAATACATTTCCTGATGGACCTTCGTTGTTAAAAGAAAAAGTATCACTCATGCCCTCCACATATCTGTCCTTTATGTCAGAGAGGAAAGCATTAATGAGCAGTATGCAACAAGACGTGCAAAGGAAACGTGGAATAATGTGATCTTCTCAGTTGAGACCAAAGTTGCACTATTAAGCCTTTATTAAACATGGTGGTGACTCCATCGTGCTGTGGGGAAACCTTTCTTTAGCAGATAAGGGGATGTCATGGAAGAAAACCTGATCAAGGTCGGATTAAACTTGAGACTGAGACAGAGGTTCTCTTTCTAGCAGAACAATGAGTTTAAAACAAACGGTACCGGGTGAAACCAGATAATCTGTGGCAAAACTGAAAGATGTAAACAAAACATTCTTCGTTCAAACTGACTGAGCAAAGTCCAATCTTTAGATTTGGAGTCGGTGAGGTACACCCTAAAAAAAATCCCCATTTGTAATCACAGTTGAAGGTGTTTCTGTGAGCCATTGGTTTAAAAAAGGCTGACAGTGAAATCATGCTCAGTCATATACTTTGTGGTTGTCTACCTGAAATTCACAAAAAATATGTAGGTCATGGACATTAGTCTAGTTGTAAAAAAAAAAAAAAAAGAAGGGGGATTTTTTTTTTTTTTTTTTTTTTGGAAGCACACATAGCCTAATTACAGTTTTTCTCAAATGCTAAAACACAAAAGCCAATCCTCTAAACCAAATGACCAGTTGTCTAAACACATTTACTAAATCTAGCCATCATTTTCCAATATCATAAACACATTTCACATGAAGACACAATTCACAAAACACAATCCTCCATTCACATAAATCTTAACACATTTTTCCTTGCTAAAACACAAGTTGCAAAAGAACTCTGCTCATATTTTCAAATGAAAGCTCATGTGATGCAAAATGCTTGCCACAGTCAGCAATATTTGAACAAAATGAACACACCTGGCGTCATTCATTACACACAACGACTCAAAATTGAAAACACCTGTTGCTAATGCTGTGACCACATGTATAAAAGCAAGTTCAGAGTGCACAGTTTGCTGAAGATTCCAAACAAACACAATGGATGAAGGCAGAGTCAGGGGAAGAGGTAATCGCGTCAGAGGAGGGAGAAGAGCTGGCCAAGGAGGAAGAGGAGCAGGCCCGGGAGGAAGAGGAGCAGGCCCGGGAGGAAGACGAGCAGGCCAGGGAGGAAGAGGAGCAGGCCAGGGAGGAAGAGGAGCAGGCCAGGGAGGAAGAGGAGCAGGCCAGGGAGAGAAGGTCCAGGAGGGAGAGCAAGACAACCTCGTACCATCATTACGGACGAGATGCGAGCAACAGTCATTGACCATGTCATTGTCCATGGCATGACAATGGCTGAAGCAGGACTAAGAGTCCGTCCAAACCTGAGTAAGTTCACCGTGGCCACCATTATCAGGGCATTCAGACAACACAACAGGTATTGTACTCTATTGCTTTCTTTGTCACAGTACAATTTTACAAGCCTGTGAAAGTAGTCTATTACAGTAGTTTCAAATCAGTTGTTACTGTATTGTAAAACATGTCAATTGACGACACGTTTCTTTCTTTAGAGTTGAAAGAATGCCACATAGAGGTGGGCGGGTTGCCATATTTACAGCGGCACAAGAAACCCCCATTGTGGATATGGTTCGTGAGAACAACCTCATCAGACTCCGGGAGATCAGAGACAAAGTCATTGACGATAATGTGAACTTTGAGGGCATTGATGATGTCAGCTTGGCCACAATAGACCGAGTTCTCCGGCGCCAAAACATGCGGATGAAACAAGTCTATAGGGTTCCCTTTGAGCGAAACTGCACGACACAAAGACCTACGTTACGAGTATGTGCAAGTAAGTATACATCCATGTTCACAGTACAGTTAGTAAACATACTGTGTTGCTCAGTGGCCTACATTACTTCTGGACAATACAGTCATAATATGCTACCTGATTGACTGTTGCTCTGAACACCTGTGCACTTTCACATTTTCACAAAGGATATTACAGTTGGACCTCTTCCTGGATGAGGCTGGCTTCAACCTGCACAAACGAAGGCAAGGAGGCCGTAACATCATTGGCCAAAGAGCCATCACTGAGGTTCCTGGCCAACGGGGGGGTAATATTACTCTTTGTGCGGCCATGGGTTTGGAGGGGCTTGTCCACCGGCAGGCTGTCCTTGGGTCTTACAACACCCAACGTCTCCTAACCTTCCTAGAGGAGCTAAAAGATATCCTCCTAGACCGGCAACATCACCATCCTGGGCCCGAACATCCCATTTATGTGATCATTTGGGACAATGTACGCTTCCACACAACAAACCAAATCAGTGAGTGGTTCACCACCAACAGTAACCACTTTTTAAACGTCTGTCTGCCACCCTACTCCCCTTTCCTGAACCCTATAGAGGAGTTCTTCTCATCGTGGAGATGGAAGGTTTATGACAGACAACCATACACTAGAGAAAACCTCCTAAGGGCAATGGAGCTGGCGTGTGTTGACATCCCAGTGGTGTCAGGATTTGGTTTAAAGGTTTTTGATTGGACCCAAAAGCAGAAGCTGAGAGGCAGAGGTGAGTTCTTGGAGGGTTTAATGAGAGATCAGGCAAACAAAAACAGGTATCCAAAAATCCAACTTAAAAATGTTAAACAAAAACAGGAATCCAAAAATCCAACGTAAAAATCAAACACTAACCAGAACCATGGAGACATCAAGGGAAAACCATCAAGGAGCCAGGGTGAGGAAAGGT